TCGTGTGAAATTTTATGTACAGAGAAAACACATATTTATGCTTTGGTTGACAGAATTTCTCAAAGTAAAAAAAGAGGACCTGCGAAAGCCTTGTGCAAAGAAAGATACAGTCCCAAAACACAATATCCTCAGACGAAATCGCCGCCGATTTCCTCAGCGGTTGGACTGGTGCATTCGCAATACAGTATGCCAGTTCTCTTGCGAGATGTCGTTAGTACTCGGATTTTTCCGGCAAATTTCGGCATTTGTACTAGTAAAATGTTGAAAATCACAGAAAAACACAATGAAACTTTAGCGAATCAAAAAAATACTTGGCGTGCATATGTATGGCATTGAGATATACATTTGCACCAATTTGGAAAAAAATTGGACAGAGCATATTAAAGTTATACGAGGTAAAAGACGGACGAACGGATGGACGGACAGAACCCAATCTATAAGCCTTCGGCAGACTTCGTCTGCGAAGGCTAAAAAAAAAGACACACTCAATAAATATCTTTTGAAAATGAACAGGGTACACATGCAAACTGAATGAGTTTGTATGGCAAACAGGATTAACGGTGAAATACAACACACATGCAGTAACATGTATGCATGCTACATTAGTGTGCAGGTGTAAAAATGGGTCATGACAACAATATATTTCGTAAATTCATGGTTGGTCGCCAAATTGAAACAGCATGACATCAAATACTTAAAGTTTGTCAAAAATTAAAGACAAACAACATTTTACAACCAACTGCACCTTATAACGCAAACGAAAGAGAAACTATATACACAACAATCAAAACCTATATAGAAGGATTCAAAGATATAAGGAGCAACCAAACATTACAATAATAAAAAAAAACCATAATGTACATTGAGAAGTGACAAAGTCTTTAGATATGCGTGTCTGGTTTTTTTACAGCAAAAACAATTATGTAAAATCAAAAAACAAATTCACACTAGCTTTATTGTGTTAAAGAATTCTATCGATATATTTATTTTGTACTTTATAGTAAACATTCAATAGCTGCATTTTTCTTGTAAAATGAATTTGAATTTTGACAAGTTGAATGTAAAATATAGGAAAATGGTATATTCGCTGGATTTTAATCACTGAATCATTCCTTCAGCGAAAATAGCGAAAATCAATTCCAAGCAAAAATAAAGTATTCTACAGTACATGTTTACTATATTTGAAGTGCATTGTGTAACCAAAAAAGTTCACTTCAGCTCTCCCAGGTCATTTATCATCATCTACCATATTTGCTCTATTAGCAGAACATGCATTTACGTAAATTACATATGGTCAAAATAATTTATATTTTAATGACGCAGTATACAATCAATGCAATTTTTGGTTTATATACTGTAAAATACTTTATATTGGCTGCAATTAATTTTTGCTGAATATATTGTTTGGGTGTTTTGTATGGAGTTTATTTTCACTGATTTTTTGATGAGTTGAATGTAAAAGGAAAAAGGCACATTTGCTGGATTTTATTTTTACTAAAACATCCATTCAGCAAAAATAAATTCTGAGCAAAAATTTTTTACAGTACGCTTCCGTTAGAAATGGACTTCTGATAGAGCAAATAGAATAGAGAAAACTACACACCTTTTTTAAAGAAGGCAATTTAACATTCAGGCAGGTATATTTTTGTGTAACTTGTATGTAAAATGAGTATCCAATTAATCACAGATCAATTATGTTTATCAAGTTTCTAACGTGAAGAAAAAAAAAGTTTATGGTGTAGTTTACACATTGGAACAGAGCATAGAATCACAGCAGCTGCTTTAGTGTAAATCTCAAGCACCATTCAGACATTGGCATTTTTAGGAGATGTATTTTTCTTCTCATAAAATAAATTGTTTGTACTAGTGGTATTTACGGTACCAGCCTATATTATGGATTTATTTTTTAATGTACCATATTACTTTGTTTTTCTCCTGATTGGTCACAAATATAGGAGGGAGAGATAATTTTATTTCTGCTTACTCAGCAAAAACAAAAATGGCTGTAGTAGTTCATTGTCCCCTATATCCCCCAATTTCCTGAGAGACAAATACACATTTTTGAAGTTGTCATCTTAGTTTTTGCACTGGTTTCTAAGGTGAAGACAAGTCACATATTTACAAATTTTGCCTGGTAACATGGGATGAAAAGGTTGTATATTGCTAACAATGTGAATTATTATCAATCAAAGAAAATTGTTTAAAGACAATGAGATAATATTTCACTCACACAATGCACTAACCCTGTAAAAGCTTGGATATAAAATCAGAACTTGTACTATGAGTGATAATAATATTAGTGTCCTGTGACGGGGGGGGGGGGGGCAGTGAATATACATACACAAACACTAATGTGACAAAATCAGTACATATCGAATGGCGATCAGTACTAGCAACAACGGATTACTGCCAGTTATTCGTAAAATTGCTAAATTATGTATTGTGACATTGAGGCTGGTTGGTAAATACGTAAAACAAGTATTTGGTATGTAGATTGGTTGATTAAAACAATGAAGTAATGTCTTGTTACCGCTATATGAAAATGCGAGAGGTACTATATTTTCGACATCTTACCTGAGTAGGTAAACAGCACGTTCGATGTCACTTAGTTTTTCGTCAACTGTCAGTCGATCGATCTCCTCTGCGGACTGTAAATAAAAAGATACTCGTCATAGGACCACATTTGCATTATAAAGACTGACAGAAATACAAAGCCAAACTGAAAAAAACAACAGGCTGCAAACCTTGAACCCTTTCGTAATAGTTCTTTCCAAACTGAGTTCTGCAAAATTCTCAGCAAGTTGGTCAGCCCCTTCTGACCAGTCCATCGTCATCGTGCACTAGTCTCTAGCCTCCCACATATGTGATATGTGGTCGATCAGTACAAAAGGTAAAAGCGGAATAATTATTTTGTCTAAATATATTTCGGTGTCATGGTAAACAAGCTGGATCCACAGACAATCGATTACATTTTCCGATTTAACAGCGAACAGCAATACACAAACAACACGCCGCCATTCCTAAATTTAGTTACGTCACGGACTCCCGTCATGCATCGCGATCAAGAAAACGATGAGACTTCACAGCGAGATTCGAACGAGAGTTCAACTTTTAAACCGACCATACCCCTCCCGGTACCACTTACATAAAATAAAAAGAAAGTTGCGGAATTAAAGGTCACCAACAGAAACAAATGTTGTCTACATTGTAGTCATAATATATTTTAGTTATACAGAAGATAACGTAATTACAGTATTTCTAGAAATTACGCCTAAAGGATAGTTTTGAACCGCTGTAACATCGACTCATCAGATTGACAGCCGCATCAGTCACGTAAGGCTTCACGCTTTTTAAGAATTGAGGTGAACGACAATACTCCGATTCGATGCGTATTTTGTTATTACACTGTATTTATTTAATAAAATAGTGAGCGTGTTTCCTATTTTATATTATATTTTAAAATGCATAAACTTGTTTACATATTTGAAAGGTTTCATTAAATATATAATAAAAATCAAGCATTTCTCGGCTGTTTACAGATGGATTTTGTTCAAACTTGATATATACAAATTCTGGTTAACCTAAATTGATTTTCAAGGAAACAATTAATTTGTGAATCCCATAGTGTTAACGTGGATCTATGTTCTGGTGACAATTTCTAATGCAAATCGGTCAAAATACTACAACTTATATTTCGCCCTTTAGGGACAAACAAATCTATGACGTCAGGGGTGATGTGTAGTCGTTTGTCATTTTAAAAAAATATTGTTTTGGAGAGTTTTACTGTATTCTAAGTGACGAACAAATACACAACCACATACAGTTTAATTTGAACGACATGATTTCATCGATGTACGTCATGTTGACGTCGCACAAGTAGTTAGTCACTAGACATTTGTATTGAGGTTCGTAATTTTGAAAAAAAAAAAAAAATGCTTCAGACACTAAAATGTCCAGACACATAGGATGATTTAGCAGCGTTTTAAAACATTACTATGTCAAAACTAAATAACTAACTAACTAAAAAAATAAATAAATAACTGGATAACTAAATAAATCAAAATAGAATAGTTAAATAAATAATATAAATATTACTGTTCATGGTCATCGAAATCAAGATTAGTTGCAGAGTTCGGCGAAGTTTTTAGTGCATGTGATGATATCGCGTCACGATAGCGCCACCACCGACGACAATTAGACACCTTGAATATTGGAATCACATATAATATATAGGCACAGAAATTAAAGAAGGCAATAGAAAATTGCTCATCGATATCTCATTGACTGTTGAAAATTCACGTTTTCCAGCACCACTTGTTTCTTGTTATCACAACACGTCGGAACAATCAAACAGCACACAGAAAAAAAACAGGTACGTTCATTTTAATGAGTCACAATTTAACTATTTTTCTCTGACGTTGTTTGTTTAATTGTTGATGTGGGCGTGGTTCAATAATTCAATAACTTACGCTTTTAAGTTAATATTTGACACTGTTATTTACTTGATGTTTTCCTTTATGCACGCTCTGAACGTGGTGACTGTGACGTTTGCAGTGGTAGCCATTCATCATTCAATGACGTCCAAGCAGGTCTCGTTTCCCCCATTCACAAGAAAGCCGTTCGTTTCCGTGGCCTAAACAAGCTTCCTGTATACTGTGGGAGGTATAGCCAACACACAGTTTATTTATAAGACAACGACGACGAACAACCTGATCAGAACCGGACTGTAAGAGCAATAAACAGGTAAGGCTGCATTCTGTTTGGGCTTGCATTATTTATGGGAACCGAGTCCATTCATTATAGTTCACTTAATAAGCCATGTTAACCCCATACGCTTCAGTTCAGCCTTGCATAAACGCAATACACAGGTGGGGCCAGCTTGTCCGTGACACCGGGCTCATCTCAGCATATGTAACACCTTGTAATGTAGTCGTGAAATAGTTCTCCAGTAATCAAAATATTACTCCCATCATTGTTCAACTTGCGACCTGTGTGTGTACGACGTGCTGTCGATTCGAGCTCGAGCATCCTAGTACAAGAAGCTCGACATAACTGATGGAGTCTGGCATACATCAATGTTTCGAGAGTATTTGAATGAATGTGAGAGTGCGTGTGTAAACATGTGTCGTCAACTCACGTACACACCGTAAGCCTCGTGAGTTTGGCTTCGACAACGTCGTATTTTTTTTTACGATGCTGTAAACATACTTACTATAACAGGGAGTCAAATCTGCAATTTCCATAACCATGTAGGGGTAATAAGAATCTGATTGCAATAATATTTCTTATGTACTCAGCGTTCTTTCTAATGACTTTCTTCGAATTATTATTCCTTCGTTTGGAATAAGATATTTCCCCCATATTTCATCGGGCGATCTAACACATCGCAATTGGACTGATTACCCAGTGTCACAATTGAGTTGTTTTCGATGCGATGGGCACGTTTACACTTGGTTTACATACTAGTAGCTACTCGCTGGTGTTGTATGGCACCGGTAACTGTAAAACTGTTGCCGCTACATCCAGTTGTAGGCAATGCATTATCTACAGAATATATAAACGCTAAAGCACGGCGTGCCACAGTGTTAGACAGTTGACTGATGATACCATGTGAGTTATGACGCGTGTTTAAAGAATCACTGTGTTAACACTGACTTAATGTGTCCATCTAATCGTCGAAGTTGTTTTTCCAGTCATGGCCTTATCTCACGGAGGACCAAAACTTGAGTCATGTCAGGTTATTTATTGTCTGTCTTCCGCAGTCAATTCCCGTCATCATCATCATTAAACTAGACTTTTATTGCGTTTAAACTATCTTCCAAAGTTGATGTCGAGATTTTATATGTTTGACATTCCCTGTCGCCAGAGCTTCCGAATTCCAATACCAAACCATCAGTATTGTTTATTTCCTAAATCATCAATAGTAATTTATCGCTTTACAAGGTGCCATGTATGCCACAGTTCGGACACGAACGTGTCACTCAAATTTGAATACTAGTCTGTAAAAAACATACACATTTAAGATTAATAGTCACATACAAAATAACTAACACTCAACTGACAGATGATAGGGTCAAAATAGATTATCTTCTCACATTCGCTCCATCATTGACAGTTTAGTCCGTTTTTTATAGTCACATTGTTTACGCGTTTATGATAAACGATGCAATTGAAATTGAGAAAATGTGGACCTACGGGAGGAAGGGAGGGAGGGGGTTGCATGGAAGAATGTCGGAGTATGAGATAATCACTAATTCAACCAAAATGCATTAACATACCATGAATAAAGACATCCATATTTACCATTCTTCATCAGTTGCGCGTATGACTGTACGCAGAGTTAATAGCTTATGACGAGTACTGGTAATTTGTACAGGGTGAACGAGAGTCTGTAAATGCTCGGTAGCTTTTGTAATAATCGAATACAGCCACTTGATTTTTCTCTATTTCAAGTTGGCGTTTTATATTAGAAGCAGTGCTGTACATATGTGTTTGTAATTTCGCGGTATCGACGCACACATTAGCACTAAACTACTACAATGAAAGCCCATTTTCCCCTTGATCAATTGGTTGTCTCGTATCATGCATGACCTGCCTAGTTTTGGTGACAGAATTCCAGACGTGTTATTTTTGTGTGGATAACGTACATAATTGTTAGTCTTACCACTGCCGATGGTGTCAAATACCCCCCCCCCCCGTTATCAAGTCTATTACCAGAATTCTTTTCCTCATAGCTGTTAAGCTGTACATACATACACAAAATAATAAATGCCCGATGACGAGTCAGCTGTATATAAAACATTAATGCGTGGTGTTGTGGGTGCTGTTGTGATGTGGCTCAAAGGGGAATTTCGGGGATTACTCGCGCCTGCTTCCGTTTTCGCAGTGTGGTGTTAAAATGCCAGCATGATGCAAACATGACACTGTGGTTGTTCTTGTAACGTCTTCGACCACTGTTGCGCTGTAAAAAAAAAAAAAAAAAAAAACGTTTACTCTCATTTCTAAAGACCTTTCAGTGATTTAAATGGAATTTCATTCAACCAGTACAGTTATCTTTTCGATACGAGACACTTTTTGTGTAGATATAACGGCATTCCAGTAGATTAATTATTAAAACTGTTCAACTAGCATTAGTAGATATATTTTTCCCGCGTGTGTTGTGGACGTGCCACCAAATAATCTTTTCCTAAACCGCATGTTTATAAATTGTGGTATATTCGACTATCACACATAGTGACAAAGCGATTGCTAATTAATCAATGTCGCGTATACGTAACAGAGAACGGGAAACTCATTAACGAAAGTCCCATATGCAAGATTGGCTCGATGGTTCTAAAATCTGCTGAGAGTCTATAATGTTTCTTTTAATGACACTGAAATAGATATAATACTCGGGGGACTTAATATGAAATCCGTCGACGAAAAGAAAAAAAAGATTTATTATTAGACGTGATCATTATGGTGTGCGTTATTACCATCGACGAGTATTAATAATTTAATGGTGACTGTTATTTGGGACAAATCTTCTGTACGTCCTGTCGTATTAAAATCTGCTAGAGCTGTTGTAATCAGTCGGTAGTTTTGTCGTATTAGTCTATATTTAAAAGATATAGAAAATCTACTAGATCAATGTGTGGTTTATTTTAAGGCCGGCGTCGTTTAGAAATCGTCTAAGGTGCAGCTTATATAGTAGGATTCCACGTGCGGGTTTTTTAACGGCAGAAAATTAGCTAGAAAATTGAAAATAAATGAATTATAGAGGCACAGTTTGCGGCGCTCGCGAAGTCGGTGATGACTGTTGGAAGTTAAAAGGTAAATGTGTTTTGCCTGCCTGTACTGCCCAGGGCAATTCTCGTATCTTATACGTCGACAAAGTGAGTGTAATATGTTCCATGGAAAAGGATATGAATTCTGTATTAGGCAGAGAATACACTGGGGAAACCCGCTGTGTTGTTACCACCTGAGTGGCATCCATTCATTTATTATGAGTTAATTTTAGCAGAGCTCAGATCACG